GAGCGTACGGAGGGCGTCCTCTGATTGGTCGGAGAGCACGCTGTCACTAGCCAATAGGCCGCGGGTCCGCCGCGCACATGCGCCAGACGTCTACGGCCGTCCTGCGGGCTCCGCGGTGGGTCAGCCTGGCGCTCGGGTGTGAGGACAGGGGAGGGGGCGCCGCCTGCTGAACTCCACGGCAGTCGCCAGGAGTTTGAAGATGCGCTCCTGGGCTCACGAGGCTCACGGGAAACGTAGTCCTCGGGGAGCAGGCGGTGCCTGAAGGGCCGGCGCGGGATTGGCCGGGCTGGGGTCGCCAGGGCAACGCGCGGGCGGGGCGAGCGGGGGTGTGCGCAGCCACTTCCGGGAAGTGGCCGCCGGCCGGAGCGGCTGCCGAGGTGAGCGCGTTGCTGACTGGCCCGGGCTTCTTCCACCGCCAGGCTTTCTGCCACCCAGAACACCGTCCCCGGCGCCCAGGCCCGAACCCGGTTCTCCTGGCAGATCGGCTCCTTCCCTTCCCGTAACGGGGCGCAGACCCCAAATCCGAGGGTCTCTCGGGTAGGACAGGCCTGACAGACCCCCAGGTGGGCACGTTTCCCCCAGAACCTCTTCAGGGCTGAACCCGCAGCCTCGCGCCACGCGCAGCTCCGTTCTGTTGAGCTTCTGCTTTGGGGTTTTACTCGCATGGGCCCAGCCTGTTCGAGGCCTCTGCGGTTCGCAGTGGTCAGCAAGCACAGTGTCTGGGAACCCGTGTCCGCACTCGGGAGGGCACCTAGTATTGCACCTGCTTCGTCTGTCTCATGGCGAGGACAGGCCCGCTCCCCAGAGCCAGCTCTTCAGGCAGCAAGTCCCAGAGACCATGAGGACAGACACAAAGCCCGACCTTCCACACTCAGGGCTCCCAGTCCCCCAGGACCAGCTGGTCGATTGACCGTTCACTTCTGGGCTGGGGGAGCCACTTTCCTGACTGTTATACCCAGGTGTTGGGTTTTTTGTTGTTATTGTTGTTGTTTTGTTTTTTGGTGGTGGTTGTTTGCTTTGAGACAGGAGCTCACTAAATTGCCAAGGCTGGCCTCGAACTTGCAATCCTGCCTTAGCCTCCCAGGTCGCTGGGATAACAGGTGTGGACCTGCTCCTGTCTTACCTGTATTTGATCGAACTGTTTTCCACTTTCCTGGCAGCTTCCTGGACTCCTTCCATCCAAGCGTTTATCCCCCAGGCATCCTCCTGATCTCAGCTCCTATGACCTTCTCCTTCCATGAAGCTTTCCTGGAGCCCCCACCCCTCACCTGTCCTTGGTCTCAGGGTCTCCTCTGCCCTGGCCTTGGCTCCTGGGTTGGGCCTTGTATCTGTCTCTCCTTAGCCAGGCCCTCTTGAATGACACTTTGATCCCTCCTTTTCTGTAGGTCCCTCTGGGTGATTCCAAAAAGACCCTCTGAAACGAGAATGCCATCCCCACTGGGGTCCCCACACCAGTCCCTCAGTAATCTTGAGACCACCCTTGAGGAGCCTGAGGCTGCACGACTAAAATTCCGTGGATTCTGCTACAAAGAGGTGGCAGGGCCCAGAGAGGCCCTGACCCGGCTGAGAGAGCTGTGTCGCCAATGGCTGCGGCCTGAGTCATGTTCCAAGGAACAGATGTTAGAGCTGTTGGTGCTGGAACAGTTTGTGGGCACACTGCCCCCTGAGATCCAGTCCTGGGTGCAAGGGCAGCGACCAGGCAGCCCTGAGGAAGCTGTAGCTCTAGTTGAAGGGCTACAGCACGACCCTGGGCAGCTGTTGGGCTGGGTAAGTGTGGTGTCATTAACTTCTAAGGACAGATCAGACATAGAGCCCCTGTGACTTACCTCTTTTTCTCAGATCACAGCCCACATCCTGAAGCCAGAGGTGCTTCCTGCAGCCCAGAAGACAGAGGAGTCCTCAGCAAGCCCCTGCCCCTCAGGAACAGTGGAGTTCTCTGGGGCAGCCCCTGGAGAGGGTCCACATAATGCCAGGATGGAAGGGTCTACCCAGCTCAGCTGCAGTGTGAAGGAGGAGCCCAGTGCTGATGGGCAGCATGTGGGTGAGGGAGAGTGCCACACCAAGACTGTGGAGCTCCTGGAAAGGGTGTGCACATCCCTGGAGGGGAGTCCCAGGCAGCTTGTGTGTTTTTTTTTTTTTTTTTTTTTTTTGGTACTAGGGATTGAACCCATAGGCGCTTAACCTTTGGGCCACATCCCTAGTTCCTTTTTTAAAAAAAATTTATTTTGAGATTGGGTCTTGCTAAGTTATTAGGACCTCGCTAAATTGCTGGCACTGACTTTGAACTTGCAGTCCTCCCCTGGCCTCCAGAGCCGCTGGGATTATAGGAATATACCACAATATCTAGCTCCTCTTTATGCCAGGGCTTAGACTCTGGAAATGAGGGTGGATGTCCTTGGCTGGGATGGAAGCCCTGGAGAAGATCTGGGAATCAAAAGACAGGCCATACATAGGGCAGAGGTGGACCAAAACTTTGGCAGTAACACCAGATCCTCCTCCAGCCTGGCTTGTGTGGGTAACTCCTGACACCCATTCCCATCTACCTTACTTTTCAGCACCTCTCAGTCCACTGCTTCCAACCCAGTCTCCCAAGGGGCATCTTAGACACCAGGACACAGCCTCCACTTCCTTCCACCCACCCAGGATTCAGGTGAGCAGTCCCCAGTGGAAAGTACAGGTCCCAAGTATGGGAGGGAAATATCCCTGGTGCATGCCTCTGCCCTGTGGGGTTTTTCCAGTCTTGGCCAGTTGCTCTTATACTTTTTTTTTGTTTTTTGTTTTTATTTTTTGTACCAGGGATTGAACCTAGGGGTGCTTTGCCACAGAGCCACAACCCCAGCCCTTTTTTTAAAAAAAAAAAGCTTTTTTAGTTGTAGATGGACACAATACTTTTATTTATTTATTTTTATGTGCTGCAGAGGTTCAAACCCGGTACCTCATACGTGCGAGGCAACCGCTCGGCCACTGAGCTACAATCCCAGCCCTCCCTAGTCCTTTTTATATTTTATTTAGAGATAGGGTCTCACTGAGTTACTTAAGGTCTCACAAATTGCTAAGGCTGCCTTTGAACTCAATCCTCCTGCCTCAGCCTCCTGAGCTGATGGGATTACAGGTGTGCACCACTGCGCCTGGTTCTTAAGCTCTTTACTGCCCAAAAGTGGAGTAAGTAACGGGTGCCCCAGAAGTCCCAGGGGTAGAGGAACAGACTGTTGGCCTCTATTATTGGAAAATTTGAGCCTCAGATCATGGAAACCTGGTCAGAAGTGACCAGAACTGGTGGACTTGCCTTCTTCACCTCCAGAGAAGTCACTGGGGAGATTTGCAGCTCCTAGAGGTCTAGGGCCAGAACTTGGAGATTTAAACTTGTGTGTGCAGGTTGGGAGGAACCAGTGACAAACTGGCAGGACTTCAGCACCTGGGGTCAGAACAAACACTCTTCCTGGGAAATGCCTAAAGTCCCTTCTCTTGTAGGGTTTTTCTCAAAAGGCAATCAGCTGGGGGCTGGGAAAGTGGCTCAAGCAGTAACGCGCTCACCTGGCATGCTCTGGGCGCTGAGTTCAATCCTCAGCACCACATAAAAATAAAATAAAGATGTTGTGTCCACCGAAAACTAAAAAATAAATATTAAAAAAATTCAAAAAAAAAAAAAAAGGCAATCAGCTGGGCCTAGAAGCTTAATTCAAAGCTCCTGTCATCTTGAGCACCAAGTTCCCAAGTATGTAGAGTGGGGGACTGTTTTCTCCTAGTTCTTTTGCTTCTATCCCACTCTAGTTGGGAGCTTTCTCAGGAGAATTGTTGGTTGAGGTGTGCTTTGAGGCTGAGATTCCAGGTTCCTTCCATAGTCTGATGGCACGGTTAGAAATCTTAGGCTGAGTGGAAAAGTTGCAGGCTCCATGGGATCATCACTTCCATCCTTTACCATCTCTATCTTGGTTATATATGGCCAGCTCCCTGCTCCCAGACTTGCTTTGGCTTGTCCCTCAGGATTATTTTTCCCAACCCAGCAAAGCCCCAGATGGCAGGACTCAAAGGCAGGAAGTGTATTTCTCAGTAAAGCCATTGGGGCCTCTGCCACATGCCAGGTTCATCTCTCTCAAGGTCTTGCCAGAAGCAGCACACAGGAGCCAACTGGCACCCACACTCTGAACTTTCTTTCTTTTTTTTTTTTTTTTTTGGCGGGGGGTGGTGGTGGTGCTGGAGAGTAAACCCAGGGCCTTGTACTTGCGAGTCAAGCATTCTATCAACTGAGCTATATTCCCAGCCTCCCCACACTCTGAACTTTCTCCACTGCCACTCCTGCGTCCCCTGTTCACATCCCAAGGTGCAGTCAGGATCCTGGATCCTCCTTCCTCCCCACAGCCTCATTTCCATGTGCTGAAATGCTCCCAGCCTTTGAAGACTCCTGTAGTTAGAGGTTTGGCAGGTGGCTGAGTCCCCAGCAGTCCCTGGGTCTCTTGCTCCCTTTAGCACCCTGTTAAGATACTTGAAAGGGCCAAGGTTGGGGGCAGCCATAATGGTCTTTACAAAGCTTAATCTGAATCCCACCCTGTTTCAATCTCTGACCAGAACAATGGGTGGGCAGCTAAGACAGGTGAGTACTGGCAGGCTGGCCAGATGATCTGAAGGAGGACCCAACATTCACAAGCCCCTTCTTGGCTTGTGCCTTATCCAGCCCATAGATGAAGCTTAGGTAGTCTTCCCCAGGTAATAGGTAAGGATGCAACACTAGCAGGCTGGGGTGGGACCACAATGATGAGCTGCATCCTCATCCTGCAGGAGGAGTGGGGGCTGCTGGACCCATCACAGAAGGAGCTGTACTGGGACGCGATGCTGGAGAAGTACGGCACGGTGGTCTCGCTGGGTGAGGACCACCGGTCCCTTCCCGCCTGGGCTTGGGTGCAGGCTGCTTGCCTGGGCTTTCGCACAGGCCTCCCAGGGCCCAGTCACAGCATTCCCCCTTCCAGAAGGCACCCACCTGGGGTCTTGGGTGATCTCCCACCTGATCGTTCGTTGCCCACCCCAGCAGGGCTGCCACCCCCGCCAGCCAAAGAGCGGGCTGAATCCAAGTCAGAGCCTGACAGTGAGCCAGAGCTGGGGACACCATGCTCCGGACCCGAGGTTGGTGAGAGCCGCTGCCCAGGCGAGCGCAGCCTGAACCACCCAGAAGTCGGGGCTGAGGTAGATACTCCTGGGCGCAGCCAGGTCTGCACATCCCCACCACCAGCACTGCCACTCCCGTTCTCCCCCGCGCAGCCGAAGCCCTACGTGTGCCCGCAGTGTGGCAGGGGCTTCGACTGGAAGTCCGTGTTCGTCATCCACCACCGCTCACATGCAGGAGGCCCCTGTCCCGAGAGGCCACCACAGGCACCCCGGGAGCCAGTGGCACGACCCCCACGGCGCCCGGTGGGGCCTCGGAGCTATACCTGTGAGGAATGTGGGCGTAGCTTCAGCTGGAAGTCGCAGCTGGTCATCCACCGGAAGAGTCATGCTGGCCAGCGGCGCCACTTTTGTAGTGACTGCGGCCGCAGCTTTGACTGGAAGTCCCAGTTGGTCATCCACAGGAAGAGCCACCAGCCTGAGGCCCCTTGAGCAGGAGGGCTGCCCTCCTGGGGGGCGGTAGAGGGGGACACCTGTGGACCTCTGGGCCTAGATAGAGCACCCTGGGGGCCAACTCCAGCCTACTGGAGACTCAGGGGGACCTTCCCCCAAAAGTCCACCTGGGAGTGAGGGAAAGCTGCTCTGTTCTTCCTGCCCTGCCTTCTAGAGGAGGCCTGGGTTGGAATCCAAGCTGAGTGGTGACTGTGGGGTGATCACCAAGGCCTCCCTACCTGAGGTATAAAAGCCCAGGACATGCCCTCCTCCTGGGACCTCTTGCTCAAAAACTGCCTTGCTGCCCCTTCCTACAGAAGTCCCTGTGGAAGGTGGCAGTAAGCTCAGAAAAGCACAGCTGATGTCTGTCCTGCTGTGTGAGACCCCTGGGCCTCCATGTGCACGTTACACCCTTAACACAAATCATATGTTTTTAGCAGGTAAGTTTCTGAATAAGAACCCGATTTCTCACTTCTGTTGGTCAGATCAGCAATCTGTCTGGCAGCTGGAGGCTCAGGGCAAATCCTAGAATTGCCGACCCTACGGTCACAGCCCCAGATCCCCCAGCCTACTTTCATCCTCTGCCACCAGCCTTTAAACTCTTGAGCCTGGGTTTGGGTAGACAGGGCACTTCTTTTCAAAGCATAGATGGACAAGAGTGACCTCTGAAGGGTGACAGATGTCCCTGAGGCCATGCAAACCTTCACGCCAGGGCTGCATCCTCACATCCTTAGTTGGTCATGCAGCAGAAAGGCAGAGGATCCCACTGCCCCAGGAGACCTGTCTGGCTTTCTGGACAGTCACTCAGGACTTCCTAATAACTGCTCCAACGAACTCAGGGGCATGAAACACTGTAGTTTTATTCTATGTTGGTTTTTAAGGTCAGAACTCTGAGACATGTCTCAGTGAACAAAATCAGTTTATCAACAGGGCTGCTAGTTCCTCCTGCAGAATCTGGGAGAGAATCCACCTTCTAGAGGTGTCCTGAATTCTTGACTCACGGCCTCCTCCTTCATTTTCAGTGCCAGCAGTAGCCAGTCAAGTCTTTTTACATTACATCACCGCCACTCTTCTGCCCGTCTTCCACTTATAAGGAGGACCTTTGTGATGACTTTGGGCCCACTTGGATGCTTCCGTCTCCCATTTCAAGGTCAGATAATAGAACATGGAATTCTCTTTTTTTTTTTTTTTGATACCAGGGATTGAACCCAGGGGTACTTAACTACTGGGCAACATCCCCAGTCCATTTTTGTGTTTAGAGGCAGGGTCTCACTTGTTTGCTTAGGGCCTTGCTAAATTGCTGTGACTAGCTTTGAACTCTCTCAGCCTTCCCAGCTGCTGGGATTATAGGTATGTGCCACCACCTGGCTGGGATTTTTTTTCCCTCTTTTTAAATTTTTTTTATTGATTTTTAAAAACATAAATGATGGTGGAATGCATTACAATTCTTATTATACATATATACCCAATTTTTCATATCTCTGTTTTTATATGCAATAGGTTGACACCCAATTTGGTGTCTTCTTACATGTACTTTGGATAATGTTGTCCATCACATTTTACTATCCTTGCTAATCCCCTGACCCCTCCCATTCCCTCCCACCCCTCTGCCCCAATAAGATAGGATTTTAACAAAAGTGAATTGATGGGAAGAGCACAATGGCTCCATCAAGCAGTACCTGTGAAGAACCCATAGACCTTGAATCCTTGACAGGGACAGCAACAGTGGCAGAAAATGAGAGATGTTTAAAGATGTCTAAAAAACCCAGTTCAACTCAGTTTCCAAAGTGGGACAGACTGTCAACCAGTTGGGCTTTGGGTTCAGTTTTGGGCTCAAGAAATATTTTTCCCATGTTCTGATCACAGTCTGGGCTTTTCTAAGGCTGTGGTGAATTCTCTTCCCTTTCTTCATCACTGTCAATAGAAAATGAGTTCTTGGTTACTTATATGAAATGAAATAAAATTAGATTCCTGCCTTGGGCTGGCCAGCACCTTGCCAGGGAATTCTTGTCTGCTCAGAGGGATAAGTCTCCTTAGAAATTAAAGTCTGGAATAATTAGTGAAGAACAAAAGACAAAGAAAGATTTTTTTCAAAGTTGGAGCCCCTGATAGGTCCAGTCCACACAAGAGCTGGACTCATGTGGCTTATTTAAGGGGGTAGACAAAAGGCAGGGATAAGGTTTCAAGGGTGGAGTCTTGCTTCTTGATGTCTTGCATTCAGCAGGTTGATTGCATCTTGGCAGGTTACACCCATCTCAGAGGGGTTGTGAGGCTGGGTGGTTAGCAGGTCACCCCATGTCTGGTGCTGTGTGGGACCAGGCAGAGCGGAATAAGGCTCACAGTGCATCTAGGCAGTCTCACACAGAGGAAATGTCCACTGGAAGTTCCCAGACACCAGATAATCCCATTCACTAGGCTGCAGTGAGCCCATGGACGGCTCTCAACAAATTCCTATTTCACATTACAGACAGGTTAAAGATCTGAATACAGAAAGAAAATTAAAACATCTAGAATACAATATAGAACAGTTTCAGATGACTTTGAATCAAGAAATGCTTTTTTGGTTTTGGTTTTGGTTTTGATTTTTGGTCCTGGGGATTGAACCCAGGGGCGCTTAACCACTGCGCCACATCCCCAGCTGTTTTTAAGTTTTATTTTGAGACAGGGTCTCACTAAGTTGCTTACGGCCTAAGTTGCTGAGGCTGGCTTTGAACTCATGATCTTCCTGCCTCAGTCTCTTGAGCTGTTGGGATTCCAGGCATGCACCATTGTACTTAGCTGAGAAATGCTTTTTAAAACAAGGCATTTATTGAATATTGTTCATCTGGGTGAAATTAAATAATTTACTAAAATATATTATTTTTCTATATTATCTGTAGTATTAGTTTAAGTCAAAGATAGCATGCATACATTAATAGATTAATGTTTAATACTGACTTCTCAAATTTAAAAAGTTTTTTGAATTTAAAAATCTAGAAAATTGGGCTGGAGTTGGCTGGGATTTTTGATTCTTTTTTTTTTTTTTTTTTTTTTTTGGTTGTAGATGAACACAGTACCTTTATTTATTTATTTTTGTGTGGTGCTGAGGATCGATTCCAGTACCTCACATGTGTTAGGCAAGTGCTCTACCACTGAGCTACAACCCCAGCCAGGGATTTTTGAGTTCTTTTTTTTTTTTTAATATTTATTTTTTAGGTGTAGATGGACACAACACAATGCCTTTATTTTTATGTGGTGCTGAGGATCGAACCCGGGTCCCGCCTGTGCTAGGTGAGTGCTGCACCACTGAGCCACTATCTCAGCCCCAGATTTTTAAGTTCTTGATGGGCACATGAAAGTGTGTTCCACACTTGCTTGGGGTCAGTTTACTTTGCATCCCCAAGAGTTCCCAACAGTTTAACACTGTGGACTCTCATTATTTCCTTTTCAATTCTGTGGACAGAAGGTGATTAGTGTATGTCAGTAGAGCCCACAGTTGCTCATATGTGCCGCCCTGTGTGTCACTTTGTACACCTGGTTTGGTTTCCATGCAGTTGATCCATTCATGTCTTCACTTCTTTTCTTCAGTCATTTACCCACTGCATTGGCCTTAGCTAACTCAGCAGCACTGACAGCCTCCAGAGTGGGTTGTAGAATCTACATCATCTCATGAGAAACTAGGCCAGGCCAGGCCTGAAGTGGTGCCCACTCATCTGTTCCGTTCCCTGAGCTGCCTCTCCAGGGAGGGTGCTTTTCCATACCAACTCAAGCTGCTACTCCTCTACCAGGTCCCGCTGTAATTCATCTGATCTTCATGATGACTCCATGAGCCTTTCCTTCTCCCCACCCAGGTCTTCCCCCAAGACTCTTCACTTCCTGGGCTCTGGTTAAGCCCACTTGGGGCCCAGAAACACTCTCCACTGCCAGAGCTGACCCCATGATTGGCGAGCTGGGATTTGACCTGGGTCTGTCTCACTCTGGAAGCATCTGTGGTTGTGGTGCAAGAGCTAAAATTCAAGCCCAGTATTATGTTCTGCCTTGACATCTGAAACCAGTAAGGAAGTCCTTGGATGACAATTAGCACATTCCCTACCCCGCTGTGCTCCCATTGATAAGGGCCTAAGCAAACAAGTTGGTAAATGGGCCAGGCACAGTTCCTGCTTATGCCTGAGTAGCAGGTCTCCATTCCCTCTAGCCTGCAGGATTATTCAAACTAGTCCGGTCCTCCAACAGGAACCGGGAGCCACCTCAGCCTTTTATTAGGAAGACTGCTTCCTACAGCTCCTGGTCATTCACTCTATTCCCAGAGCACTTTTGAGGGAAATGTCTTGTCAAGTAGTTAACTTTATTAGAGCTTCCTATTTGTAAATTTAATGGATTATGATCAGAAAAGTGGATCCTGGTTGGGTGTGGTGGCTGGGTTCCATCCCTGGTGGTGATGGAGGGGGTGAATCTGGGTCCTGTATAAACTCTTCATAACATTTCACACTCACTAATATGATTGTAATAAGAAAAAGACAATAACAAGTGTTGGAGAGGACGTGGAGAAATTAAAACTATCATACTGCTGGTGGGCATATAAAATGGTGCAGGTGTTTTAGACAACTTTCCCCAAAAGTTACATAGTAACACTATATTTCACTTTTTGATGGTCTTTCTAGTCATTATCTAATACATTTAGAAGTAAAATGACGGGCTGGGGATGTGGCTCAAGCAGTAGCGCGTTCGCCTGGCATGGGTTCGGCTGGGTTCGATCCTCAGCACCACATACAAAACAAAGATGTTGTGTCCGCCAAAAACTAAAACATAAATATTAAAAAATTCTCTCTCTCTCTCTCTCTCTCTCTCTCTCTCTCTCTCTCTCTCTCTCTCTCTCTCTCTCTCTCTCTCTCTCTCTCTCTAAAAAAACACTCTCTTTCTACACTTAAAAAATATTTAAAAAAAAAGAAGTAAAATGACAAGTAAATTTAACGATTCAGATATTCTCCTGAAAAGAGCTCTGGATCAAAAAAGAACAGATATTTCTCTGCAAATTGTTCTCTGCTGCACTTAGCAGGCCAAGAATTAATTCCCAGACTGTGTCTTGCAGTAGAATCTATTTTCTGTTTTCCAGGTTCCTGACTGTAAAAAGAGAGGCAGGGAGTTCAGTGGCACATGCTTATAATTCCAGCTACTTGGAAGCTGAGAAAGGAGGATTGCAAATTCAAGACCAGCCTGGACAACTTAGCAAGACCCTGAAAATCAACCAATCAAAAGTTTTGAGGACTGTAGAATTTGTTGTGAAATGCATAGAGCAGGCTGTGGGTATAACTTGATGATACAACACTTGCCTAGCATGCTTGAGGCCCTGGGTTCCATCCCCAGTACCATCACACACACACACACACACACACACACACAATTGCATAGGAGGCCCCTTAACCTGACTCAATTCCAGGGCTTGAGAGACCCTGTTTAGGGTAAAAGCCTAAAACCATGCAACAATGGGAGTGTGGAGATGAAGGCAGTTCATAACTTATGTTGCTGGTGCAAGTTTACAAGCCTTTTGTTTTCAGAGCAGACAAGGGCATCACAACCCTGAATAGGTTAGTCCTCCAGCCCGCCTCTCTCCAGGCTACAGAAGCTTGTTAAAGCAGAAATTCACATGATGGTAGACAACAAAGTTGTAGAACAAATAAATCCAAAAGCTAGCTCTTTGAAAAGACCAATAAATAAAATAGATTAAAGCATTTTGAACCTGAGTGCTAAACTATCAAAAAAGGAGACTTACTAAGGGGCTGGGGGCCGGTGTTGTGGCTCAGTGGTAGAGCACTTGCCTAGCATGTGTGAGGCACTAGGTTCGATCCCCGGCACCACATAAAAATGAGCAAATAAATGTGTTGTGTCCGTCTATAACTTAAAGAATATTTTTAAAAAAAATTTTTAAAGGGGGCTGGTGTTGTGGCTCAGTGGTAGAGCGCTTGCCTAGCACATGTGAGGCACTGGGTTTGATCCTCAGCACCACATAAAAATAAATATTGTGTTCGTATACAACTAAAAAAGTTTAAAAATAAGTAAAGGTATTATGTCCATCTATGACTTAAAAAAACATTTTTTAAACAAGGAGATTAAACT